TGTGGATTGGGTTTAATACATGAATTGCTAGGAAGATTGAAAGTATAGTGGTGAGAGAGATTTGGTGTCAGAAGTCTTTTTGTTAGTCTTTCAAAATCTGGAAAAGCAACCTTCTTGAGAGCTACTCACAGGCAGGTAAGGAATGTTACATCCTATGCCCATTCCTGCGTAGGTACTAAAATGCATGGACCAATTATGTACGTATATCTGGTTTGCCTGGGTCCATGTATGTTGAGTATTAGACTGGAACAGTCAGCACTTCTTGGTTGTTCTCAACTCATTCCTTATAACAAAATTCCATTGTAATTATTATAATGAGGAAAAGAAATAGAGGGTTGAGCTTTATGACTGAAACACAAAAGGTGCACAGCAATGGTCTCCACCTGAGAATGGAGGCGAAAGATCTCCTGAAATGCAAAACTTTGCCTGCTTCCCGGTTTTTTAGCATTGATGTCATGAGATTTTATTACAGTCAGCCATTTAAAAAAAGAAGGCATAAAAGGTGTATTATTCTTGTGTGACTGGGGATCTGAGATCCTCTTGCAGGGCTGACGAACTAGGAGCCAACAGGGATACGTGCTTTCCACTAAGCCTTCCCTAACTGACCTGATGTGACTCTAAAAAAGTATGCTTTCTTTTTGCGGGAGATGTGTAATATAGCTTTTGGTCTTTGTACAGATTTTTCCGTTTTCTTTTGAAACAGAAGCTACTTACAGAAGTCAAACTGCACACCTGGTCCCTTTCCTTATGTAGACTACTTTCTACTGAAATAAGATTGTAATTCAAAATAATTGCAATGAACTTAAATATCAAACCAAACTTTAGACTAAGAGTTTGTCTTAAACTCGGGTATTAGAAGCAGAGGTGCAGCTTTTATAAGGAAAACCACATATTCCTCTGGTAGAGCAGAACAGGAGTACATTTTTCATCTCTTTTTCTTTCCCCTTTTAATGCTCACAAAGTGTCCAGTCCCACAAATGCTTTCCATCGGCAACTCCCTTGAGATTTGATACTCCAAAGGACTGAGTAATAGGAGGTGGAGCCTTTTATTGCTAGACGATTTGTTCAAATCTGGTCCTGTGTTACTAGTGATTTTTTAACAGCTATTTGTGGATTAAATGAGTTGGTGGGTTTTCCTATGAGCTATCCATGCCTGTTTGCAGGATTCACCCCAAAATTGTCAAGAACACTGCATGCTCCCATGCAGATCGCTCAAATTATATGGTGCAGTAGTCTCTCTAGACATCCGTCCAGTGAATCCTATTACTAGCAGCCACCAAAGAGACTGGTGTTTATCTGGTTATTACAATGGTGGTAGTATAATACTGCTCCTTTAGTATGGACAGACTTTTTTGGGCCTTTGGATTTTAACATCTATTAGGACTGGTGAGCATTAGCAGAGGAATTGCTATAGTTCTCCATACCATGTCGAATGTGCCTGTGGTTATTTTTTCATATATTCATATAGGAACGTTTAAAAGAGCTAGTGATTTTAGGTCTAGAAAGTAAAAGACAGTAAATATAATTGTATTACTGTATTTATGAAGAAAATACTCCTTCGCCCCTCCTCCCCCCCAAAAAAATCTTACTCTTAGGTGATTTTAGTTTTTGGTCGTCAATAATGTTTCTTGGGCTTTCAGGAAAGCATTGAAACCCATTTTGTTTGCACTGTTGTGTAAATGTAAAACAAGTGCTGAGCTAAGGAGTTGAGTGTAAAATAACAGGCCTTTCTATCTTCTAACTCAAGCACATCCTTTTGGGTTTTTTAAAAATTGTGAATGTTTAAATAAGTATTCAGTCACCTCTGCTTTCTGGCTGGGACCAGAAGCAACTGTTGAAATAAATCTAGTGAGTGTCTTTGTCCCTTTGGGTTCCACTCAACATCCACAGGTCAACTTGATGGTGAGCAGAACTTGTAGAGGTTTGCCTCTCCACAGAGTTAACAGTCAAACTCCCATCGACTCCAGTGGTTTTGAGAGGTATTCTCCAGGATTCCGGTCCTTTAGTGTTCCATTTATAGAATAGTAATTGTTAGATGGATTACCATTTTATACTCTCTTGGTTTTCCTTTCCCTGGAGTTGTGGCCTACAGGGAAGAGCCAATAGAAACTGACCAATGTGCTGCTTATCTTTAGGGTCCAAAATATCAAACCATGAATGGAAATATGTAAGTTTGCTATTTAACAGCCTTAGACAATGTATCAAGAGATGGTCTTTTTTCTATATAAATCTATATTAAACTAAATTGTGTGGATTATGTTTTTCCTTTTTTTAAACCGTCAAACTGATTTCATAATTGGGGAATGAGCTGTTTTGTAACCTAATAGTTGAAATGGCCCTAAAATCTTTGAAGAATGTGGCAGCTTTAATTCTTTTTTAAAAAGTGTAAATATGCACTAAATCTTTTGTAAATGTCTGTATTATCATGTCTGTAGTTAGCCATAAAATATCTTCACTGAGTTTTAAAATGTGTTTTGAAATTAATTTTTATCATAGGTTTTGGGGAGGGGGTATTCTTAATTTAGCACAAATATTTTCTGTTTGCCAAAAAGGGGGGTATTAATACTCATTCCAATTTACTCTACCACTTTGGGACCTGATTCTGATTTAATTTGCGCCGCTGTAAATCAAAAGTCAATTCCTTGAACGAAATGGAGTTTGCACCACTGTGCAGCCAGTGTGAGAGAAGAATCCAGTTCTCTGTTTCAGTTTTTCAAAAACTTGGTTGAAACATGGGAACATTTTTAATTTTTTTAATTTTTGGGAACATGGGACCCTTTTAAAATATTTTTAGTCAAAAAAGCGAAATGTGAATTTTTCCAATCAATTATATAGCAGGTCAGAAAAACAGGATATAATTTTTGTGAAAAATGTTTGACAAAAATTTCATCCTCTTTCTTTCTCCCCTCCTCCCACTGAAAAAATTACATTTGGAACATATCGACTAGCACTATGATTTGGGGTTCTTCAATTTTTGGTTTCCCAATTTGAAAAGGTCCAATTTTTGGAAATGTGGCAATTTTTGAGTGCCTAATATTGGACACCCAAAATCCTAAGTTACTTTTGAAAAGCTTGTCCTTTGTTTTTAAGCTGCTGATGTAAAGCTTGCTCATTTGCTTTGCTATAAGTTGAATATTTCCATTTCTTTTTTTCTACCCCTTATCTTGCATTGTAAGGGGAAAGAATGGTGATCATCTCGAGGTGAATGGGTCTCAGCAGGCTTGTTTGAGTCGATATGTTTTCATTGTTAATCTTTGACTAGCCAGCTTATATCCATTTGTTCTTGTGTCCACATTGGTATTAAACTTAAATAATTCCTCTCCCTCCCTGGTATTTATCCCTCTAATATATTTAAAGAGAGCAATCATGTCCCCCCTCAGCCTTCTTTTGGTTAAGGTAAACAAGCCAAGCTCTTTGAGTCTCCTTTCGTAAGACAGGTTTTCCATTCCTCGGATCATCCGAGTGGCCCTTCTTGGCCATGTCACAATGGCGGCTCATAGTCATCCTATAATCAACCAGGACTCCGAGGTCCTTCTCCTCCTCCGTTACTTCCAACTGATGTGTCCCCAGCTTATAACTAAAATGCTTGTTATTAATCCCTAAATGCAGAACCTTACACTTCAACCAGGTGTCAGCCAGGTGGGGCGCCCGCTCGTTCTCCCTTGCGTCCACCCGGCCGCCACCGGGGGAGGGGCTGTCTCAGCTGGCGGGGGTGCAAGAGCCACCTGTGGTCCAGCCTGGCGCCCAGCGGGATGTAGCCAGAGAGGCAAAGGTGAGCAAAGGGGTTCCGGCACCGCAGGGCACAGCACTGCACCCCCCAGCTCCGACATGCCCCCGTACAGTCCCAGGCCCGCTGATGGGGGAGGGGGGCAAAAGGGGCGGTGGTCCCCGGGGCCCAGTGGTTCTGAGGGTCCCAGGACTCTCAGCAGCTCCC